GATGACTTTGCACCCTGTGTGGAAAGTCATGCGTGTCGAGCTTGTAGGCAAGAAGTGTAGCGAAGTCAGCGGGGCAGCAAGCACGCACGGTGAGCGAAATCGAGGGGTTTTTTTTGGGCGTTTCGCTTTTATCGAGTTCCCTTTTTCGTATTTTTGCTTTGAGTTTGCGATTCGCTCCGCTTTAAAAATGAGAACGAAAGAGTTGACCAAAGAAAATTTTACGCTTAAATGTCAAAAATACGCAAGAAACGCCGCAAAGAAAAAGTCATCGTGTAAATGCACGAGGATTTTCGAAGACTTTTTTAAAAGGGAACGTGCCAAAAACGCAGGGTGAAAAGTCGTAGTGTAAATTGGCTCAAACAGTTTTATGCAATTATTTACCAAGGTGCGTTCATGAAAGAAGCAATTTATCCCATTATCACTTTAGATGATATATTCAACAATTTTCACTAATTTCAGCTGGAAAGGGTTTTTTAGCCCAAAAAACTACCAGAAACTAGCAGCTCTCTCTCGCTCTAACGCTCATCTTTTTTTGGCTCTCCTGCTAATTTCTGCTAGTAAAATTTGTACTAGCAGAAACTAGCAGCTGTTAAAGTGGATAAACAAAAATTCACGCCGAATATTTTCAATAGTCAAATACACCGATCAGCTGATTACTTGCTAGTCTCTGCTAGTTTTGCGTTTCTTTACTTTTTCGTTATTTCGCTCTCTGTGAGCGCAATTCTATCAATTTTCTCATTCTTCTTCCTGATAATTATCTGCTAGAAAAGAAAAGAAACAAAGCCGTTGTTAAATGAGTTTTTTAAGTCCGACATTACACGATCAAAAACTTGCTTTCAAGTTTCAATCAGAGACTGGCTTGCGTTGAACGCCAACTATTGCATACTCAATCAATACTGCTGCTTTGTATGACTGACGTAGTAGTATCGATACCTAAAAGAAATTAGAGGATGACTGAACAACAACGCATAGCGAACTGTCTTGCAAATACAGCCACCACAAGTGAACGATACTTATAACAGCTCATACTGACATGAACCAACTAACAAGATCACCCAGCGCGGCAACCGTGTATTTGTAATTGTATTTGAGAAAAAAAATAATGGTTGATGACGTCATTTTTTAATCGGTTCTTTCATTCACACACAGGTTTCATTCCGTTTCATTCACATGGCGGCGAAAAAATGACGTCACTGCAAAAAAATAACTTTTTTCTCGCACGCCGTGCTGGGTGATCTTTATTCGTTCGTTCATGTCATACTGATATTGACTTCGGCAAAACGGTACTCCGAATGCTCGTTCACCACAGTATAGACAGTAACCAACCTTTTTGGGTTGTTGTTGTAGTTATATTCACTCCTGAGGAAGGCACGGGGTTGTGTGCTGCTATTTAATGGCCTTCCTCAGACTTTTTCTTAGATTCAGGGTTGTGTGCTGTATTATTATTAGATAAATAAATTTAAGTATTTGTCAAATCGTGATTTTATTAAAAGAAAATTATAAATGGTGTTGAAAAACCAAACAAACACTCGTGCGAAATCTCTATTTTTGTGTATTGTTAAAATTTATACATGGCGTACTTATTCTTTTGTGGACTTTATGTTACTTGAGAATTTAGACAACGTGCGAGCTGCCAGGTTCTGTTATCAATATAATTAACACAAGCTTTTCCGAGTGGTTGCCTTTCAATAAAAAGAATAAACAAATATTCGAAAATAAATTGGATTTATTTTATAACTGACAACTAACCTACGCTTTTTGTTCTTTTCTCCATTTTAATTTTGACTCCTTATTGCCGCCAACAACTTTATGTGTATACATATTTACAAGCTGTCAAAATTTTGCGTAGTCCTACGAGCTAGGTAAAAACTATGGCATTCGTATTAACAACGAGAAATCTCAAAATTTTTGTTTGGTCTTTCCAAATTTTCTCTTTTTAATCAGTTGGCAAAGGCCCTCAGTGGCAGCGCTCCGAGTGTTGGGATAGTAATTTCATGTCAATTAGTAGAAAAGTTCCATGTTGAAAAAACTTTTTATTATGGCGAGAAAAATTTACATTTCTGCTGTGCCAATTCGTTACCTTTTTGCAGCTGGAAATTTTTGACAGTTGCTCTGGTTCAAAAGAAGTTGAGCAATTAAAATCAGAAATTATACAAAAAAGACTTGTCTTTACTGACATTTATTCTTCTAGAACTAAAAGCCATGAATTTATTAGACGCCTTAGTAATAAAATCAAACCATCAGGCCGGGTTGAAAATTTTCATTCACCTCATAGTTAACAAAAATTTACAATCCGTAGTACTTTTCTATCAATTCTCAAATGCATTTAATTTAAATCGTTTAGAAAATGCGTCATTTATGTATACCATTTTATGTGGAATTATTCAATAAATTTCGTTTTACACTATACTTTTTGAAACTATTTGGAGTTAATTATTTTTTGGTGATTAAAAGCAACCCTGCGTGCTTGGAAGGCGTGTGTACCAATAGTTTCATCCCTAGCATATTCATCCCCGAGGAAGGCAGTCTCCAAATTCACCGAAGTTTGTTTACTGGTTATATTGTGACTCAAACCCTCAAACCGCAGTGTGGACTAGAGTTGTCAAACTATCGATAGCACTATCGATAGTATCGATAGTTTAATTTTTTTTAGACTATCAATACTCATTGATAGTTTTTTCTTATACTATCGAAAATATCGATAGTTTAGTAGGACTATCGATCATCTCTCCCAATTTTTTTGTAATTATACATACATATATTAATCGTAAGTCCTGTTTTGTTTGTATAACTTGTGTTTGTTTTTGAACTTTCTAAAAAGAGAAGTATTTTGGCTAGCAGTTACTTAATTTTGAATGATTATAACTTTTATAGGATAATATTTATTTCACTGTAAAAGCAAAGCAACCTAACTGATTTAGAGCTATCGATAGCGCTATCGATAGTGCTATCGATAGTTTTGTTTTTTTCGAGACTATCGTGAATATTGATAGTTTTTCTGAAAACTATCAAAACTATCGCTGGTGTGACTATCGATAGTTTGACACCTCTAGTGTGGACAGCAATAGTTAGTGATGTGGTTAAGTTCGATTTGAGATGGTTAACTTTTTGGTGGGGACATAGTATAACAGTACATATACACTGTTTTCTTTCGTGGCCAATAACAATTGGCTTGGACCTAATATTACTTTTATTTTCCCCCAGGCAAAATCGACCCAACGTAATATATAGAGTGGTCAGTGGTCAAAAAAATATTTACAAGTTATTACAAATATTTTCCCTTGTTATTAATTACTTTTTCTTGTTATTAATTTGAGTTATTTTTTTTATAAAAATATAGTTCATTATTTAACAAAAACCGTAAAAAGCCAAGTTTGAAACTTTGTGCAATATTAAAAAAAATCACCAAACTTTCATAAAAATTTCGAGCATTTTAAACTTATTTTCCAGAAAGATTTTGAGTGTGCAGTTTTGTAGCCTACTCAATTCTAATATAATATATAATAATATAATATATAATATAATATAATAAAGTGACAATTTCAAGTGGCCAAATATTTTCGTTTGGCGAAGGTGAGGCGGTTTTCTTCCATATTGTGTTTATTCGTTATATGAAAGCAAATGCGATGAAGGAGTTTCTAAAAATCAATGGTAATTTGCGTAATCAATACTTTTAGTTGCAGTTAAATTTCTTATGGAATGTGGATGAATGTGGAATGGTAGGATCCGGGCGGCGTTATTGTAGCCGCTACAGCAACAACAACAACATCAAATTAAAGGTAAGAACTTGCACTTTTTAAGGGCCAGTTTTTCTGTGCACGGCCGTAGTTTAAACTCGGTTTAAACGCCCGATATGACTGATTTAAACTAAGATCAGCCAATCAAATGTCAGCCAGCTGTTCAATTTAAACTCAGTTTACTTAATCTATGTTTCAACTGCCACTGAAAAACTGGCCCTAAGAGAATCCCCTAGCTCAGGCTTTACACCGGACAATACTGCCATTCCAATAGCAACACATGCACACTTTTTCACTAATACGTGCATACATTTCCATTGGAATAATTTTGACAACTAATACGTATATCTTCATTGCCGTGTGTTGTCCGGTGTAAACCCTAGGTTAGTATAAAAATCCTTAGTAATTAAAGGTTCGATAAACTGACAGTTGTCCCTCTCGCACCGCTCCCTTACCAGTGGCACCATGTTGCTTCTTTGCAAATTTACTAGGGAAAATGGCAGCTTACGGATAAAATGGAAGTATTGGTTAACTGATGAAAACATACGTTTTTTTAAAGGATGATTACATGAACTTCATAATAGTTATATTTAGGGGTTTCCCTTAAACTCGTAAAGTTTTAAACCGTGTAAAACTCGTAAGTTTACGAAGCTTTTATGCGAACGCCCCCTTACGAAAAGATGTAAATAGGTGCGTAAAGCGAATGTTTAAAAAATCAACCAGGATTTTGTGAAGCAATTTTTGATTCGTAGTATTTTCCATAAAATCTCGTCATCTTGTCTCTATTATTCTTGGCTAAAATACAATTAAAAATGCCGAAAATTTGCAGAAAAACTAGGCTAATGCAGTTAGTGGATGAAATTTATTCATTTTATTCACGTATTATTTTTTAATTTAATTTCATTATTTTATCCCACATTTAGCATAAAATTTTCGGGCCTTCGGCATCATTGAAGTTTACGAGGTTGTTTGCGCATCAAATTTGAACCGTATATTTACGAGGGGCTCGCAAATAGAGCTCCATACAAATTTTGACAGTTATTTCACGAGGCTCGTAAATTTACGAGCTTTACGAGATTCACGAGGCTTTTACGAGTTTAAGGGAAGACCCGAATTTTTATGCAGAAACACTGCCAATGAATATTGGACGTGTGGCTTTCGCCTTAGAGTGGAATGTGGAATCTTTTTAAAATAGGCCCGGAAAGAAATTATATGTTAATGCAACCCTGATGGTTTGTTGCAACCCTACTTGGGGTCGCCATTTGCAATTCATTTCGCTTGTATTTCGCAGTAGTTACATTTTCCGTCGTCTACTTGTCGAGGAAGTGGCTGTAGATTATTTTATATAGAAGATTTTTAATTATCAGTAATTATTACAACTTTTGGATCGGACTGTCGTGCACAATATTACAAGGATCTAAAGTTCTTAAAATCAGTTTTTGTTGAACCTAGATTTTGTTTTACCGGGCGAAAATATTTTACTGGTGAGTAAGGAAATATTTGTAGGGTAAATGGGCGGTAAAATGGGGCTGTTTTCTTATTTTTCTGATGTAAAACAGTATAAGTTTTTGCAAAGTATGTCAAATATCTAAAATTGGAGTGTGTATCTACATATCTATACAAAGAATATTCTTGAAATTTATTGTGAAAAGGTAGTGTAGGAGCTGTCCCAACTTTTTAATCCGCCCTCTGAAAAATGTAGAATGTGCGCGGGTAAAACGAAAGAAATATCTATTCGTATATGTGTATATCTACTTGATAATTTTTAACGATTCTAAGTATACCGGTTAAATTTAGTAACGAAACTAGAATTAAGTTACATATTTATGAAAAATCTTATACGGTGTTCGCATGAGACGATTTTCCAGGCAATTTTAGAGGCGATTAGTTGAATTAAAAGTTGGCTCCACCCCAACTTCATTGGAAGGGATTAGTTGAAAGGCCGTTCGCACCAGGCGATTTTAGCTTTCAATTAAAACTTGCCTGTTAAATCGCCTCAAGCGAACCCCGTATTAGTTTTTTTGTAGGAACAAATGGCACGTTTTTTCTTTGAACGCATGGTAGTGATGGCTTTGTATTCTACTGACTGTACAATGGTAGATGTATGTCCCCCTTATTCTATAACATGATTCAATAATAGGTTAATTCCTTATCTTTTTGGACTAAAATCTGAAAAGTGTCAAAATGTCAGAGCGTAAGCAAAATGCGCTCACTAACAGGCCAACCTAATATTCACGCACGCCGGCAGTTTACTGTCAAAAATTTCTCATGCATATACATCTTGTATGGGACCAACCGAAATTGACCGGCGTGCGTAAAAATCTAACTCAAATTCCTAGATTTGTGTTGCGTGACATTTCGATTTGACGTCTGTGCTCTATGACATTTTGGCGCGACAATGAATTAAAATTTTGGAAAAAATGCAGAATAGCTTCGATTCTCAAATTAAAAAACACATATGGGGATCGATAGAGATCATTGAGGTGAGTATAACGGTATATTTCTTTTCTTGCGGAAATAACGACTACAATAGTTATTAAGACTCAAAGTTCAAATTAAACAATTCTTTAAATCCAAATTTTTTGAAAACGAATGCATGGATTTAAAAATTTTGATCTCATTTGATAGGAAATTTGATTCCCTTTAATTTGATATAAATATAATCCTCCCTAAGTAGAATTTTCCTTTCTGTGTTGCCGCAGAAGGGAAGCGGAATTCCTTTCTGCGTACATTAATTAGATTTTTGTGAAAACTAAACAAGGCATATATAAAGTATGTATATCAAATTAAAGGGAACTAAATTTCCTATCGATTGAGGTCAAAATTTTTGAAATCCATATATTACTTTTTAAATTTTTTATTTAAAAAATAGTTTAATTTGAACTTTGACCCTTAATAACTTTTGTAGTTTTTGTTTCCGCAAGAAAAGAAATATACCGTTATACTCACCTCAATGTTCTCTATCGATCCCCGTCCTTTTTTTTTAATTTGGGAATCGAAGCTACTCTGCATTTATGCTCAACTTCTGAAATTGGACGGAAATGCAACTCTGAAAAATCACGCACGCAAATTTATTTCGGTTACTCAAATGTGAAGAACTTGCGTGCGTGCGTAGAAAAATTCACGCCGGTAATATTAGGTTGGCCTGTAAAAGAGAATAACAGGAAAAGTAAAGGGACGCAAAAACCAAATTTTTAGTCCAAAGAATGGCAACAACAAAGCTAACGTCAAATAAGAATGTAAATGTATGTACAAAACACCTTCACACAAGCACAATAAACACTTTCTATATCAATTATTTTTTGCCTCCTTCCAATTTCAATTCACTTTTTTTACTTTTTAGATTATTCTCACTTTTTGCGTATTCTTTAATTTCCGTTATTTTAAATTCAGTCGAGTTCGACACTTTTCAGGATTTTGCCAGAAAAAATTCTTCTGACTAAATCTGACTACTTCGGACTGATGAGAGTCACTCTCACCGAGTGTTGCTCTCTCATTTTTACTGTCATTTCCGAGTTAAGGAACGCTTTTTGGACTAAATCTGACTACTTCGGACTTTTTCTGACTATTTCTGGGAGATAAGGAACGCTCCTAATGCAAGGCTAGATAATTATTGACAGCCGCGGTTTGACACTCCCTTACAAAAGGTTGCATTTACGAAGGACGGAGAAAGGGGAAGAATGAAATCTCTTGGTGCGAAAATGGTAATAGAAAAGTACGCAAAGTAGGCAATTAGTAGTGAAATTCCTTTTGTAAATTCTAATGTATTTGCAGGAAATCTAGCATTTTAAACGAAATATTGAACGAAATGGATATAAGGGAGCCATAAACCTGATTTTTGGTTACGTTTAGGGATGTGCCGGATAGAGATTTTGCCGGATAATCGGATTCCGGGTATCATGTAAAAAATAAGAGCCGGATTCGGATATCCGAACGGATGTCCGGTAGACTACTGCCCTTAATGAATTTTACAATATTGTTATATTAGGTTTTTTTGTTGAGCGACATACTTATGGCCGGATTATCTGCTTTTTCGGGGTGAACTATCAAATGCGTAATTAAGAGTACAAAATATCTCTAAAATCCAAGTTATAAAATAATCTCATATTAAAAAGATAACTTCTCCATCTGCAACTTTGAATTACCGCTTATTTTTTACGTGCCGATTGATAGCCGCTTTTTCATATATCATTTATTTTATCAATTTAATTGAATAAAATTGTTCAAACAGGTGGCAACCATCCTCAAAAATATTTTCGGCAGTAAACTTTCCTAAACCTCGTCAGTTTAATACCCATATTGCAATATTCAATTTATTTATTTTAATAATTAAATTAAATTAAAATTTTGAAACAAAAACATTTTCGGCTGTAAGCCTTCTTAAACCTCTTTCTTTGACAGCCATATTTAAATATTTACTTTTATCTTATCAATTAGCTTAAGCAGCAATTTTCAAACAGGCGGAAACTCTCAATTTTTTCTCTCTATATTATAAGTTAGGCCTCTAACAATACATCGGTGAAAACGGCATTAAATTCCTTTTCTTAGTTTTCGAGTGATGTGCGTACAAACATACAGACAAGTAGGCAGGCCAACAGACAAAAATTCTAAAAATTGTTGATTTGCCTTCTGTTGCATTAATTTTTCTTTAAAATCTATAATGTACAGACATCGGCCTGTTGCAATATTATTATTATTTTAAAATGTGATTAAATCGAACTACTATGCATGCTTACATATCCTCCCCCTTCCCGCATTGTCCCGCAATGCTTCATTGTTGCAATATTGTGTGATCCACGTTTCAAAACTCGTTTTTTTTTATCAATAAATCTAAAAGCTGGGTTTATGGCAGAGTTAGTTCGTTTAGTTCATTTTAAAGATTAGTTCACTTGTAGTTCGTTCAGCTCAATGAACTAGCTCTTGTGAGTCCTAGTTCGTTCATCTTATTGAACTATAGTTCGCCTAATTACACTACTTCGATAGTAGGAGCTGAGTTACAGAACAACAAAAATGTAAGTTTTATAGTACAACACATGATACAAAAAAGAAGGTAGTTCCAATGTCACTTTTTCGTCGCCATATTAACAACGTGACAATTAAGCAGATTGTTACATTTCGTGCTACCATATCCAATATCTAAAATCCTTCAAATTTTATTATTAATGTATTGTTTATTTAAAGCCTTTTGTTCTTATAATCGAAATTTGAACAAGCAAACGGTCTTTTGTTGGGTATGGTTCGGTTATTTGTCCAATGATTTTGGGTTATTGTAAAAGAATGTGAACATACGAAAGCGATCAAAGGATTAAAGTTTGATTTAAAATAAAGATATAAAATTTTCGAACACTAAATTGTTAATGAATTCGGTGTGAAATATGCACTTTTTTGTAAAAAGTACCGTGTAGCCGGAGTTGGGCAGATTAGTGTTATTTTTTCTAAGCGCGGCCGAAGGCCTCCAACGCGGAGAGGTATTCTGCCTTTGTCCTTTGGTTATCGTAACCCGAGCTTACATTTTCTGGCAAAATGCTAAGTTTACCACATTTTCACACCCGCTCCAATATTGAACAGTAAACTTTATTTAAGGGATTCGCAAGCAACCATAAAAGTCGTTTTATGAAATTTCACACCGTTAAAAAAGTATTTGGTTGTGGTAACAAGTCCTCTAAACATTTCTTTAGCCGTTCAAAACTTTACGACACACGACAATAGGACACTTACGATACCTTGTGAACCATCTAAATATGTATTAAATTCACACCGAAATGTGCATATCTGAATCAATTATCTTCGGTATAGAAAACCGTAATAGTCCTGGCTAGATACATTAGTTGCGTTTTTTTACTCATTTCCAGTAAAATCCAGTAAAAGTTTTTACGAATTTTCATGTTTTGGCGTTTTCGTACGCAAAAACTTGCAAAGTAGAGGAAATTGAGAGAGCGCAAAATGACAGTTGAAGTTGCAAGTTTTTACTGGATTTTACTGGATAAATTTTTACTTGTAAGAATTTGCCAGTACGAAAAACAGCTGATCGCATGTTACTGGATGAAATTTAAACTAATAAGGAAACTGTTTGTGGGTTTTTATTGTTGAATTTCACAAAATAAACCTATTTAAATACAAAATATATTGTTTTATTAGGAATTTGCTGCGAATAAACAAGCAATTTATCAGCTGATCATGAAACTTTCAAATTATTACTGGAAGAGTTCGCGTACTTTATTGCAAATTTTTTCTATGAGAGCGAATTCTTAGAAATAAAGTTACTGGAGAGTTGCTGGCAAGTTACTGGATAAATTGTAAAAAAACACAACTATTGTAAAATAATAAGATGACAAAAAGACACAAAAAAGTTTGAAAAACCCTACATATACATATGTATATGTTCACTAAAATTTAATTAACCTAAATGGGAAGTGGTCATCATATTTAGTGTAAAATTTAAACATTTACATTTAAACAGTTAATGTTATTAAAACTTTTATAC